GGAAATTAGAATGCAATATGAATATATATTAATTATTTATATTATTATATTAATATATAAATATTATATTATATATTATATAATATTATTATATCATTATTATATAATTATATATTATTGATATTGTATATATACTTCAGAGCAAACAGTGATATGTATTAAACCCTACCAACCAAATATCAATGTTAAGGAGGCTAGTACTAAAAACATTAAATATATTTTCCATTGGTTGCAGTAGGCTATTCTACCATGTTAACCTCATTCAGAAACTAAAGGCCTTACTTGTACAGTAAAAGCTTTAGAGCACTCTTAGACCTGCCTGTTCCCTGCATTAACATGTGTGTGTTGTGTTAAGGCAGCTGATTAAAATACATGGGCTGCCAACACATCAGAAGAGACCAAAAATCGGACATGCACAATTGTTTTTTTCTGATGCAGTGCACGATAATGCACAGTACCTTGCAAAAAAAAAAGATCTTACTACATGTTATTAATACACAGTAATAAATGTTTCCCATGTTTACAAATGTTGTCTGTTTTTGTTGGCTCCTAACATGGCTTGATTATTGCCAGCGATGCTCAAACATGTTGCATCAGGTTGTGCATGTCATCCTTAGAAGACCTAGCAGATAATTTTTCCAAATCAGATATTACTTTAGAAATATAAACACAGGAACTCACTTATGAGGAGTCTTGAGCACTGACAAACTGTAATCATTTATTTTTTTAACCTGGATTAGGAATCAAAGATCTGTAATCATCTGATTGGCTGCATCGGGCAACACCTTCTTTTTACTACACCTTCCAAAATTCTATTTAAGCCCTTATTGTATGAATGAGCAAGTAATTATATTTTAACAGTTCTGGTTCCCTTTGCATTGGAGTTTTCAGATTTTCAGACATGGATGACCGTGATAAAGGAAATTTAAAGACAGTCACTACAACAGAATTTTATGTTTTGTTTCCGGTAAACTGTGCCTTGTGTGTAATATTCAGAAAATATTTTTAAGATCTCAAATGCAACAAATTAACAGGAACCTAATATGATAACACTCAGTGCTTGAATATCTTATTTCCGGCTTGCTAATGTTTGAAAAAAACAATGCAATAAATAAGCGGATAAATATGTGAAGTACGTGGATGTGGTAATATGTAGATTTTGTAAACAAGATTAAGCTACTCACTTCTTCAGAATTCATGTAGACATAAACTCTCCCTTCTTCTCGAACTGTGCTCTGCATCGGTGCTCCCACCAGTAAATCTGACAGTCCATCCCCATTGAGATCCACAGCACACACAGATGCTCCAAAGTATGAACCAAGCTATTGAAGCAAAGGAAAAAAAGGATCAGACTTTTGTGTTTTTCAATCTAATTTTACAACAAGCATTACTGCTACAGATCTGCAAATCCCTTCCAACTGTCATTTGCAGCATCTAGAGGATGTGGAGGAGCAAGATAGAGGAGTGTGTTATGTTGCTGACCAACTATAACTAGTTCTAAAAAAATGTACAAAATTATCCTAAACAAAAAAAGTAATCAAAAATTCCCTTTTTTTATGAAGCAGATTTAACCCTTTCACTCCAAGCCCTCCAGAATGCTTTTAACCTCAGCTGGCCACACGATTTTTGCAGACCACAGAGTCCTCTACCTTACCAATTTGTGTGGAGATTGTAGTCCATCACAGCAGCGAGCTTGGAGTGGTGGCTACTTTACAACACACACAGGGACCATGCGGAACAAAGGTAGCCACCCTCCAGAAGGAAGGACAGTGTCAGCACAAATTCAGAGATTATTTGAGGATCTACAGCCGAGTGATACACAAATAAGATACATTTAAATGCAATTTTAAGATTCAACTCACTTTAAATACAGAAATCCAGATTTCGGAGATACATTTCCACAGATAAAGCAAAAACATCAATTTCCTTATCGATCTAGATCCAGCATAGAATATATGAGCCCACCCGTTCATGTTGAAAGTTCAAAAACAGATATGTTGGGAGGGTTTACCCTTCAAGCAAAATTGTATCTATGCATTTCTGCAGCCCAGATCAGATGAAAGACTTCTGTTATTTTTTAACTGTGGTTTTTTAGAAAAACACAAACTAGTAACAGAACGGGAAGCTGGGAACAACCAAAACCAGCTCACGTGATCTCAAATGCTGCAAAGTGGTTTTCATAAAAACACACACCTTTTTACCTTCAGCTTCAAAAAGCAAACTCAGCATCCTTCCCTCCACCGCAAAGATGTAGGCCTGGAAAACACAAAGCCAATAAATATCATTTAGTAAGATGTATTGTAATCTTCGATTCTATATCTGTTTTAGCAATGGGAATTGCTCAACGCTCTTTGTCCCTCTGTACAGTATGCGATTAACAAACCGTTATCAACACAGAAAGAGAAGTAACATTTATCAATGCATTGCATCAGAAATGCTGCAGAGATAAGCACGTGAATCACATGTTTTATACTGTACATTTTCAAATGTATAACATGTAGTTATTTTATTGCAGTTTTAGGAGCTTTGTATAAGGTGTTGGTCAGTTTATTTACTTTAAACTCTTTCTGACAATGACTAATAATGTACCCTATACTCATTCCCCTAAGGGGGCCTTATTTTAAAGGGTGCTTCTTGATTTTGATAAGCCACCCTCCCCCACATTCCTTTTGGGGGACAGGATGTGGGAATGAGGTCCTTGCCCCTTCAACATAAGGAGAAAAGTTGTCTTGCAAGGGGGAGACTTTTCATCCCTTTATTGCAAGGTACCCTCCCAATATTTAAGGCATGTGACCTGATATGGTTCTGGAAGGACCTGCCATTCCCTTTCCTGGCCACCCAGGCTGCATGCCTGGAAAAGGGCCTGGTATGAATTTGAAGGGGAACCTCACTGCTTTTCTTTAACATGTCACTATTGAAGGTTTAAATCATACTGTTCCATCATTTCAGGTGCAGCTTTAAGGCATCTCTTAGGCATTTTATTTAAAGGAATAGTGTATTTTCAATGTTGCCCATTAAGCCGCATGGAAAGACCCATTTCCCCGCTGTACTGTATTTTCAAAGAAAACACTTTGCACTTTACAAAAAAAAAAAAAAAAGCTTGAAAATTAGGTTGGAAAAGGCCAGAAAAAAGTCAGTTCTCATAGACTTCAATCGGGTATGTTATATATGGTCTGTTCGCTCATCTCCACCTATGACTTCAATTGCATTAAACTGAAATCTCAAACAATGTTAGCTGCCTTCCCAGATTCTCTCTGTAGAACAGCTTGCCCCTATGTTATGGAGTGGAGGAGAAGAGGTGTCCTGTGGTCCAAATCAGGAGAGCTGCCTAGTGTGACCATTTTGCTCCTCCATGAATACAGTACAGTAAGTGAGCATTGTCACCCCGGACAGGAAGTGCATTACTGAAAGTATCACCAAAAAATTACAGGCAAAAAAAGCCTTAAAAACAGTAACTAATGCAGCCACCACATCTAAAGATTGTCAAGCTGCAAAAAATATAATTTGTTTTTGGTTTAGATACGCTTTAAGTGTATTTCAAAAAACAGGGCAAACCTTTCAAACAATGCATCTGTACACCATTATCGGACATGTATGTGATCCCTCATCATCCATGGAGGATTGACAAAAGTCAGGCAACCCATGAAGGGGGTCACATTGTTTTAACAGTTGTCTTTGTCTTCATCTTACTTTAACTATTGCTATGGTAGAAACAGCACGGGAGTGCAGTTGGCCCAGCCAGACAGGAGAAAGATGCAAAGTGGAAGTGCAACCAACAGAACTGTTTTAGTTGCCAAAATGTTGATAGTTATGCTCTTGTAAATCACACAACCCTGCCATGCTAAAAAGCCAGGTAGGTGACCCCACTTTTTACTGCTGAGGCTCTGTAGATTTTCTCTGTCACCTTCCCAACTCTAGCCTGCTCACTGGACTATAAATTCAAATGAGCAAGATATTTTTTAACCAGTAAATGCTGATAGAATGAAAGCACAAGCTGGCTGTGGCTGTGAACCAACAGGCAGTACATCTTGTGTCAAGTTACTACTTAGTGACTTGTACAGTGCAGTGCTTTTGACGTTTCTAATTTAATTTGCACCTCTGTCCTATGAGTTATTTGTGATGATGTAAAAAATTATAATTCATTCAAAAATTCTTGTTTTGAATAAAGGGCTGATAGCCCCCAGGACAGTACTTGCGGGCAACAGTGCTTCAAGTGAAATAAAGAGCCTGGATTGTGTTTAGGACTGCAATAAAGATTGTTTAATATAACTTATCAACATTCCAAATACTACAGTTAATTTTAGAGGGTTTCACAACCATCACACCCCCAGCCACACATATATTTTAGGCTTCACAGAATTATTACTACATGGCACCTATTTTACCCATGCCAGACTCCATTTTTCATGCTACATCACCCATGACAGTGATAATTTTGCTCAAAAACTAATAGTTCTTCAAAATGTTGTTCTACTCTATGCTGTATAAAGGCTACTAATTCTTCTTTTCTGATGCTATACCCCCATCAAAGCAAAGCTCTGCCACTTTTCTAGCTTTGGTTCCTTCTAGATGTGACTAAATCCTCAGTATTTGCTCACTGAAAAAGCACAGTTTTGTGTAGTGTTACTACACTCCTTTATTCAGTTACATGGAAGGAAGAAGAGCAAGTATGAGCAGGGGCCAAGAAGCTGAGCTCAGTATCCCGACTCATGTTGCCCCTAGACAGGTACTAGAAGCTATTGTGTAACCTCCTAGAAGTTATATCAAGGGGTCTATAAAAAAAAAAAGGGTTTGGGCTTAAAGTACACTAAATGTGGGAGAAATATAGGCTGATATTATTGATCTCTTCTTCTGAAAATACTGGTTCCCCAGCTGTCACAACGGCATATTAGGCCTGGTTCACACCTGGGCCTTTTTATGTGCGGATCTATATGCGAAAGTGTGCAAAACACACATTTCCATGCAAGTCAATTATTCACACCTTAGCGTTCAGTCGTGCGTAGAAAAATGCCTGTCATGTTAAAAGAAGCAGGAGCTATTTTGAGGCAGATCCTGCCCGGATTTGCATCTCATGCAGGGAGAAATGTGCAAAATTGCGCAATAAATACCCCCAATCACACGAAAAATGGAAATGCCTAGGTGGGAACCTAGCCTTAGTGGTTTGCCTTCAGCCCAGCTTTGAGGGACTCCTTTGGAACATATAATTTGCTGCTAAATTAAATATTGCTTTATCTATTATTTTGTTAATTCCCCCTCCTGCCTTCTCTACAACCAATCCACCTCTGTACAACATTTGTATGAAACAACAATTGCAGAGATCTCTACATCACACTAATCATTGTATTCGTGTAAGAAGCATGACACATTTCAAGAAAGTTTAAGTTATGTAAAGTTCAATCCTCAACTGTCTTTGCTTTCATTTGTGTTAGGCCTAGACGATAGCATTTACATTGCTGTGGAGTTTTGCTTCTGGTTTAACTGATAGGGAAATTACCACACATAACTGTTTCACCTTGATTAAAAAAACCTCTCAGTTTAGTGGTTTGACCTAATGTCCTTAACCTGTGGGTAACATTTCCTTTACAGCCAAAGCCATTTACATTCATGTCTAAGTGTTCCCTTTAGTATTCAGCCAGTTTTTTTTTTTGTTTCACAAAAAGCAGCTGTATAACTGTATGCTACAAAACTGGCACTTACTTTTATGTAATGAAAAATAGTTTTAAGTGGCCCTGTCAGGTAAAATATAATGGGCCACAAAGCCGTTCAAAACAAGATACTCACCTCTCCTTTATCCCATGCTGCTGAACACCGCTCCATTGAAATCTGCTGGAAACCTAACAGTGTTGATCTCCAGTGTCCTCGCTGCATGCTGTGGTTTCCCCTGCCAATCCCTATGTCACTAATGTGTCCTCTATTGATGTTAGGATCAATTGGAGAAAACGTTGAATGCTATGAAGAATACAGAAGGTCTACACTACCGGAAGTGTTGGGTTCTCGGCCTCATTTCTTTCCGGGCACTTAGTGGTGTGGGCAGTGGAAGAGGTGAGAATTTACCCTCAGCTTGTAGCCATTTTTTTTTACCTGACATGGTTGCTTTAAGTGTAAAAAAAATGTAATTTATGCCTAGTGTTCTCGGATATTCCCATTTCAGAGGACAAACAATTAGTGACATATTGCAGCTGTAACCCACAATAATGTGTACTTATACACATATTCTGAAGCAGACCTATAGACAGATATAAAAGACACCAGTAAAAAGACACCTGTGCAATCTACTTATTCATTAAGAAAATCCTGAAATGCATTTTTACATCAGTCTGTCTTTTTATTAGCCCCTAGGCACAACAAGACTCAAGGCTGAAGTTGAAAGGTTTGTCACCATAGACCAGTCATGTGTCACTGCATTGCACACTGCTGTCTACCCAATACAGAGGGCATGATGATGAAAGCAGAAAGCACAGGATAGACCCAATCACTTTGGTGGTGTTCCTTCCCTATCCAATCACAAACGAGGGCAGGTCTTTGATCAAGCTGCATTGCTTTACATTTACAGGACAAAGTGAGATCAGCAACATGGCTATGATGTGAGTGAATCTCAAAAGTGGCTGAACACATTACAAAACTTTGGCAGGTAAACAGTTCACACAGATGTCTTTCAGCTGTATATTAAACTGCTGACCTGTTGTACCCAAGCATAATCTAAATGATAAAATCCTGGTTCCCTTCAGTGCTATGCCCATGTTTGAAGACCTAGAAACTTGGTCAGCTGATCCTCTTAAAGGAGAACTATTGGGTAAGTATTTTTCTCCATAGTTCTCCTAAGGGTCACGGGAGGACATATACTAGCGTCCTCCCTTGACCCAAAACTCAGTATATCGCCATCTACTGAGACCGCCGCAGCCGGGTCGGATCTCGACATTACTGTCAAGATGTGCCCAGCAGCATGAGTGACAGCTGGCTCTGCCTATCTATAGGCAGAGCCAGCTGTACCCGCCGACTCCCCCGTCCGTTCCTCCAGTCAGTACTGGAGGATCGGAGCGGGGAGGGGAGAATCCCTGCAGGGAGATGATCGAGAAGTGAGCGAGCGACGGTATGTGTTCGCTCACTTCCCGATCTATTGAGCCGACGTGTGACAGTGTGACAGCTTTTCCGCATAGTTCTCCTTAAGGTAACGGGAGGACACAAACTAGCATCCTCCCATCACCCTAGGCTCAGTATACCACGAGCTGCTGCTCGCGGTATACTGAGACGCCGCAGCTGAAGTGGATCCCGACAATTGTGCCAGGATCCGCCCAGTTGCGTGACTGACAGCTGGCTCTGCCTATCTAGAGGCAGAGCCAGCTGTACCCGCCCCCTCCCCCGTCCGTTCCGCCAGTCAGCGCTGGCGGATCGGAGCGGGCAGGGGGGAATCCAGCCCCTGTCACGGCAGAGAGCCGTGACAGGATCGAGAGGTGAGCGAACACCGGTATGTGTTCGCTCACCTCCCTATCTACTGAGCCGACCTGTGACAGTCTCATTGTCACAGGTCGTCTAGAACTATGAGGTGAGTGAAAAGCACTCACCTCATAGTTCTCCTTTAAGCAAAAAGCATGTGATACAGGAAATTTCAGCACAACTATTACATTTGATATAGCCACCCTTGCAGAAATTTTAATGGTCATTTTATAATAATATCTGGTCTGTTTTTTATCTGCATCTATTGATGATGAATGTACAAGAGTTCTTTCCATAGAAGAACACTCTGATAAAACTTGCAAGAAACTTTGAAAGCAAATTCATAAAGATGGGGGAAATACTTGTTCATGAAAGTAAAGTTAAATGTCAAAGCTTGTAGGTTTCATACTCTCACCTATCAGCCGACTCACAGATGGAGGAGAAAGAAGAGTAGCTTTCAGTCAATCTCCAGCCGAAGAGCTGCTCAAAAGCCCTATGAAAATCCTAATTAGCCTCAAAACGAGGAGCTCTCCTATGTATTTGTAACAATTGTTGAAAAGCTCTTTAAAACTAATCTCTAGATATTAGGTGAATCCTGATGAATGAAACACTTTCTGGCTGCATATGAATTGTCCAGTGCCCCACAATAGGAATCTCTTTTATGAAGCTTCTGGCTTTGATCTTTGCCGCAGGCACCAATTTTTATGCTTGGCTTCAAGCTTTGCAAAACTCCTCTACTGATTTCTGCATAGTAACATTTAGCATGATGGTTAAGTGATTAGCCCCGTCATTGTGTTTTTACTCCACTGTATTCTCACAGCCCAAAGAAAATTCTAGTTATTAAACGGATTTGATTATCCATTAAATAAACTTTTCTATGAGAATAAGGGACAGTCATGGCTAGTCTATCTCTGAAAATGCTAGTTATCATGCAATTATGTTGACCCTTTGGCTTCAATAATTTGAAATGCTAACCCATAGCATGTTGGGTCAGCATGACAGCCAGGCAACAAGCAATATAAGAATGAGCAGTCAGCGATAGCATCCCTACAGGTTGGAGTGACATGATGCCACTATATCAATGAATATACAGGGGATCAACCAAGAGTCCTGAACAGTAAGTAGCTGTCTTGTGAGGCTTAAGGTGTCGCAGTTTTTGCATGGACTTTGTCCTAGATTTACTGGAAAAAAAAGATATGCTGTCTAATAGGTGTATTATAAACTTCAGACTTTTTCTTACCTTACCAATCTGTTCCTGCTGTGGAGCCCCTGCTATAATCTCAATGCTGTCACGTGCTAGAAAATGCCCAGCTCCAACTGCGTAACCTAAAACAATTTAAGTTGTTTGATTAGTCTTTTACCAGAAAAATAGGTTACTGGATGTAGTGCCATAATAGTATAATACATTAACCATAATATTACTATTAAAGACATCATAGTTAAAAAAAACAAAAAAACAACTCAATACAGTTAAGGTAACATGTAATGTCATCTCAACTGCATTTATTAGGTGGTCCTATTAAAAATTCACATTTCACATGAATCAATAAATTAAAGTTCAGTTCCAGGACTTTTTTTAGTTATCACACCAGTTATTATAAATGAAAAAGCTGCTCTGGCTGCAAAACTTACATTCTCCTTAGTGCTGTCCCCTACAGAATTACCATTTTGCAATCCATTCCTGGTCCTCTTTTCAGGTTGAATGATACCCAGCCTCATTTAACCCACTTTCTGTGAGTGCAAGGGGTTCCACACTGCCCACACTGCCAAAAGCACCAAAACCTGGTTCAATGACCGTGGGATTACTCTGCTTGATTGGCCAGCAAACTCGCCTGACCTGAACCCCATAGAGAATCTATGGGGCATTGCCAAGAGAAAGATGAGAGTCATGAGACCGAACAATGCAGAAGAGCTGAAGGCCGCTATTGAAGCATTCTGGTCTTCCATAACACCTCAGCAGTGCCACATGCTGATAGCTTCCATGTCACGCCGCATTGAGGCAGTAATTGCTGCAAAAGGGGCCCAAACCAAGTACTGAGTACATATGCATGCTTATACTTTTCAGAGGTACGATATTGTTCTATGTACAATCCTTGTTTTATTGATTGCATGTAATATTCTAATTTTCTGAGATTGTGGATTTGGGGTTTTCATGAGCTGTAAGCCATAATCATCACAATTATGACAAATCACGGCTTGAACTATCTTGCTTTGCATGTAATGAGTCTATCTCATATATTAGTTTCACCTTTTAAGTTGCATTAGTGAAATAAATGAACTTTTGCACGATATTCTAATTATTCGAGTTTCACATGTATAGACATGTGCAGACATTCTGGATTATTGGGGGCTGCCTAGCACAGAGGAAAAGGTTAGAAGAAAATATATATATATATATATAGATAGGGAAGCCTTGGAGAATGCACCTGGCGTGCATTACCATACCCTTGGTATGTTGTCTTGCCATTCATTTAAATGGCACTTGAATGCACCTCCTGGCTGCTGTGTACTGCAATAATGTGCATTGTGTTGCAGTGCGTTAAAATAGTGTATGCAGTGATCAATTGCTAACAACATCAGTGTGATTATAGGACTACTAATCCCCTACAACATGCTATCTGTGTAGTTTACACAATAGGGTGCCATTTATTCCATATGCTTCGTGGTTGATTGCTAAACTAATAATTGCTAACAATTTTAGTAGTGCAATTGAGTTACTACAAATTACTCGTGTAACTCTAGTATCAGATGTACAGTATATTTAAAATTGTTTAATTGAACTACTAAAAATTAAAAAATATACTTAACACCTATATAAGAAGCATAAGTGTTTAGCTTACCAGCATCACTGCCTGAAAAACAGCCAGCAGGTCTACCCCCCAGACGACAATGCTGGCATTGCACATTTACTGGCACCAATAGCCAATATGATCATTTTACATGCATCAGGGGACGGCAATACATAGCATAACAAACATTCAATTCAAATGCCCTATTCTGTTCAGATGGTAGATGGCAAGTCAGATCTTAAAGACTGATCTCTATTAGAAATTGCTGCATGCATACTGACAGTGACATAAACACTGGATACAAGACTGTTGAATGGGAAGTAAAGATATATGTAAAGAAAACCCACATCCTCTGTCTCCTATGTAGCAGCATGTGCAAAAATGCCAGGGCGAGTCGCATCAAAACTTCCTGTCTGCTTTTTTATTAAGCCAACAAGAGGCAGGAGACATGAAGCCTGGTTTACTAAAGAAGCTGAGAATCTTCACTCAAGAAACTGCATGAATATTCACTCAATTATTAAATCAAATTTCTGTTAACTTATCTGCACATAACTGGGTATTCAAAGTGAATAGGAATTTGCTTTTCAATTGATTGGATAATTTAAGTGACTATTTGCACAATTTGTTGTGTGAAGAGTCTCAACTTCTTTAGTAAATCAGCCCTATTATTGGGCAATCAGCACCCTTTTCTTGTTTGATGCAATGGTAAATGTGAAGCATAATGATTGTATTGTGAAGCACTTATATAGACAGAGCTCTATGAATAGCCTACTTGAAAACAATGCACATACAAACTGACCTATCCTGTCATTTATTTTCTTGCAACAGTCATTGAACATGGATGCTAATTAGGGTTGCCACCTGTCCAGGATTCACCCGGACAGTCCGTGTTTTGAATGCTCTGTCCGGGTTTCATGGCAGCTGAGACCTGGACACATGATGTCAGGCAGACAGGGGCAACCAAAATTAAGATAGGAGCTACTGGCCCCCCCACTGAAAATAGTCTTGACTGTGATATTTACATATGAATGGGTGGCGTTATTTACATACGAATAAGCCGCGACTCATTCTCCCCCGAAAATTTCCATGCACCGCTAGAGTGTTCGGGTTTCGCTGAAAGTAAAGGTGGCAACCCTAATGCTAATCATAGTTGTAAAATATACTTGAAATGCAATTACAAATGTCCCTGAAATGTAGGGATGCACCAATACCAAGTACTGTACTCGGTAGAAGTACAAGTACATGTACAGATACTTTCCGAGCTCCAAGTGATGGGCTGATACTATTTTTGCAAGTACAAGTACGGATACTTGCCCAAGTACTTACAAGTACAAATTCATTTTTGTCTAGTGTCATGTGACAGTTTTTCTAAAACAATATCGACTAATGATTTCAGGTCAGTGGTGGAGCGCCAAAGCCAGGTCCCAGCTGCAACCGCTGCAGCCCTGGTAGTTCTCATGAAAATGCCAAGTATCTGCACTGGTATCTGAACTGGTATTGATGCATATCTACTGAAATGCATTGGATATCTTGTCATCTTCCTGATAACTGTGGAATCAATAGTTCTGTTCTGGACTCTTAAAACATGGTTTTGGTGCTACCTAGTGCTTGACTAGACACAGATTTATTTTATTGTAGCAGTCATTGAGCATGGATGCTAACCAAAGTTCTACAATCTACTCGAATTACAATCATAAAGATAAGGACCAGCAAGCAACAATACAAGTATTAGTTTCAGCCAGCTTTAAAATGGATACCTCAAATGACACCCTTAATATTAAAAAACGTCTACAAATTCTGTTGAACCTAGTATATAGTTACCATAAATAAAAACATTCCAGTTATCATAATCTATGGCAATCAACATGGATTGTTCTAAATACTATGTAGGTTGGAAACTTTGCTTAACCAATGCAGGAAATGAGAAGCGATTTTCTCAATGGAGATCCACACATCAATTATAGTTTGAAGGAAGTTATCAAACATCTCCCTATTCTTTCAAAACCAACAGAAAACCGTTTGGCTGGAGTTTTCCTTTAATCATGACACTGCTAAAACAAGTCACAATATACTAATAAGAAATGAATTACCTAAATAGCTGCCATATTTTACGGTGTTATTTTCATTGCTAAAGGTGTAAATATTGTTCATTGTAGTATTATACACGAAAATAGAGCCCATCCAGTAGAATGATCCAGGTGCCCCCATAATGATTAAATCCTGGGGGGAAAAAGAAAACAGAGATATTTTTGCACTGCATGGTACGGTAAAACATCTAAAAACATCAATGTAACATAGACATCTATAGGCATTAAAGCATATCTAAACCCAAAAGCATACATTTTATATATTACAGATTAGTAGTCCTTAGATGAGGTGGCTGCATTCTTTTTCTTTTATCAGGTTTTTTCTTTTATTGCGACCTGGTAATTCTGTGAATAACACACTTTCAATTCCTGGGTAGCTACATTCACTACTCCACAGTATGCATTGAGGGAGCAATAGTTGTAACCCAGGCTGGACTTTAAACATAAAACATACTTCAAACATGCCTCCAATACATGGGGGTTTGGAAGATTTGTAGTTCAATCACAACATGATTTTATGCTTCCAGGTCAGCGCATAGGAAGTAACAAGGACACTACATTGCTGGCAAGATCAAAAGAGATTTGCCAAAAATGTTCTCAGCCTGAAAATGAAAACTAATGAAGCTATCACCTCTAAAGACTGGAAAGCTAAAATATATTACATTTATGTTCTTTTTTTCTTAATTATTCCTATAGTTCTGATTTTATGTGTTGTTCTGTTCAGTCATAAAACAATTGCTCTGAACTTATAAGCAATAATATTGTTAAAGGGTAATTCCACTTTACCAGGCAACTTTGGGAAAATGGAATTACCCCTCCAATCTGTTCGTCACCTGACCAATGAGAAGTGCTTCTAATTGGTCAGGGCGGTCAGAAGCGCTTCTCATTGGTGAGCGCAGCCAGGTGACTACGCTGACTAATGAGTGCTCGCCATTTGCAAAGAAAATTCAAAATATGAAGTGCAGGGCTGCACTACCGCGTACAGAGTACAGATAGTACACCGGCGGAGGGAAAGGAGCGTTCGGCCAAAGGTAAGTATAGAAGGGGGAATGGAGGGGGTAATTCCATGTTCCTAAATCCACCAGGGAAAGTGGAACTACCCTTTAAAAAGAGAAAAGTAACCCCACTATCCAAGGACATGTGCATACTGTTTAAACAAATGTGAATGGTGATAACTGGTTATGCAAACTTTCCACACAAAAAAATGACTTGAGGCCACAACCCCTCTGCTTAAAATGCAAAACTGTTGTTGGACTTTACTTTCCAGTAACTGAGAGTCTGCAGAGAATATTTAGATGGTTGCAAGGTAGAAAATTAGAAATCAAAGAAAACTGTAAAAGTACAGCGGTTCCTCGATTCGCGAACAGGAAGTTGGGCAAAATTTTGCTTCCGTTCACGAACGCTGCATCGGGTGATGAACACAACTGCAGCCATCTTCCCTGCTCTGACACATGGTAGTGGCTTCCTCTAGTCGAGATTGCAGTCTGATCACAGTTTGATTCGGTTTGCGACCAATTCGGTTCGCGACCAGAATCATAGAACGAATTAAGTTCGTAAACTGAGGTACCACTGTACGTATAAAATCATTGGCTGAATCAGGTCACATGATCCTTCTGGTCTGCTTTCCACAGGAATCTTACATACATTATTGCCTAGCAGCAAAGTAAGTCCTACCTCAAAGTAGAAGCTGGAGATACCAGCTTGACATGAACCGTGCATTTCACCAAACTTAAAATGAAAATCTAAACAAAAGGAAACAAAAAAAATGTATTAAATTATCCAAAATGCATGTATTTTCTCTAAATGTTTAACTCAACATTAAGGAAAATGTGCACAGTATTTGTTGTGCCATGAGAAAATAAGCAAAAGAGAGACACAACAGCACTTTTGCCTACATTGTTGTGAAAACCCTATGGCCAGATTATAAAAGAAGAACAAATTAATAAATTAAGAACTTTGAGGAAGACACAAGAGCACAACAAGAAGTTGGAGAGGTTGCGGTATAATCTTAAGATGTGCAAAGGGTTTTTTACAATGAGAGTGGCAAAAGTAAGGAATTCACTTCCACAGACAGTTGTATTGGCGGTGAACATAAACAGCTTTAAAAAACACTTGGGTGAATTCCTCAGTTTATAAAACATATAGGGTTATGGGAATACCTAGCAACATGTACACACACAATATATAGGTTGAACCTGATGGACCTTAACCTCACCTACTATGTTACAATGTAACTATGGGACACTGAAGGGTGGTTGTCAAATGAACTGGCCACAATCATGAGGTCAGCAGTTATAAGAGATTAAACACTAGCTCAGTCAGCAACTGTGTCCTAATAACATGATCTTACAACCACATCCTCCAAGATATGGTAGCAATGTATGTAACCACAGAACAGACCCATAAAGTAAGAATCCCCTACCTGCTTGCTCTGACATTTAAAACCAAACAGAGCAAAACCCCAAAAAACTACAATTGTTAGGACAGGGTTACTGGTTCTTGTATCACTAGTGTCACTGGAAAGGGAACTGATTACTGACCTAAAGCAAAATTATTCTTGTTTTAAAAAAAAAGCTGAAAAAGTAAATTTGTTATGATTCTGTATGTCTCTTCTGTCATAAATGCTTCTCCATGCCTATGTCGTAGGCAGCCGAGTGAAAGACCGACCTGAAGTGAAGTGAGCCGAACGCTGTTCGGCTATTCACTTCAGGCTGGTAAGGCTGATTTCAGTCGTATATCGGCTGAAATCAGCCGTACATCGGGTGGCTTCACGTGGCTTCGGGTCGGCCGAACATGCTTCGCATGTTCGGCCGACCCAAAGTGCAGAAGGAGTTCGACTCAGCCGAGCTGTGTCAGAATAGAAAAAAAAAAAAAACATTTCTGGCCATAGACATGCATTGCTAGATTCCTATTGGCTATTTCGATTTGCAATAGCCAATAGCAAACTAGCATTGTACCCGCCCTCTGCTGCTGTCAATCAGTAGTGGACCTGATGGAGAACTGCAGCAGAGGGAGGGTGCAATGCTAGGCTGACACGGCTCCGTGTCAGAATAAGACAACAAAAAAGAAAAAGCAGTGTTTCTCTCCTGGGCGGCCGGGAGCAGGAGACTCCCGACAGATGCCATTATCGGCCGGCCGCGTACAGCAGAGGACACCGCGTGCTCGCAGGGACAAGGTAAGTGACACTTTTCTGTGCAATCCCGAGGGCTTACCGCTCTTGGTACTGAAAATTAACCCCGAGCCAGACTCGGGAATACTGCCAGGGAGGTTAAATATCCATTCATAAATGGGTAGCCATTTTTAAAACAATTTTTTTGGTATGCCGTGTGAATAGGAACACATAACAAACATATAGTAGGGTTTTCTCAGATTTGACTGCTAAAGTGGAAATAGTGGAAGTAGAAATACATAGGTGGCACAGTGGTAAGCACTTCTGCCGTGAAGCACTGAGGGTTCCGGGTTCAGATCCCAGTCAGTACACTATCTGCAATGAGTATGCATGTTCACCCTGTGCTTGGGTTGGTTTCCTGCAACACTCCAAAGATATGCTGGTGGGTTAATTGGCTCCTGTCTAAATTGGACCTGTATGAATGCATGTGAGATAGAGACCTTAAAATTGTAAGCTCCTTGAGGGCAGGGACTGATGTGAATGTGCAACCATGTAAAACACAACTTAAATTGTTGGCGCTAAATAAATGCCTGTAATAAAACAAAATCACATCTATATGAGCTAGTTAGACATTGCATTCCGTAACCATGGTCATTATTATGGAGTTGGCTCCCATTTTGTTGCATTAACAGCCTTCATTCTTCTGAGAATGATTTCCACAATATTTTGTCTTTTGGAATTTCTGACCAATGATCCAAGAGAGCATTTGTAAGGTCAGGTACTGAATGGATGAGAAGACCTAGTTCAGGATCTGTGTTCCAATGTATCCAATTTATTTATCCCAAAAGGGTTTGCGATTAAAGCTCTATGCAGGTCACTTGAGGTCCTCCACAACAAACTCATCAAATAATTTCTGTATTGAGCTCGCTCTGCACACAGGGCACAGTTATAATGTAACAGAATAGGGCCTTCCCAAAAAATGTTACCAAACTATTAAGAGTGAACAACTTTCTACAATGTCTTTGTATGCTGAAGCATTAACAGTGCCCTTTGCTGGTGGTTGCCACCATAAATGTATTAAAAAACGCTTTATAATGTGTAAGATAATTTTTCCAAACATTAGATTAAATCCTATCCTAAAAATGTTTAAACATATAAGTAATTGTAATTCAAGCTTTTAAACGAGTAAGGTTTTTGTTGTTTAGCTATCATTTATTTTTTTTATACCTTTATAACATGGACATATTTTGCTCCGTAAATCTGTGCGCAGATTTGCAGGTATTTTATAGCATATTCCATGTGGAAGCTTGTGCTGTTTTTCATAAAAGACATTTTTCCATCTATGACCACAAACCTATAAAAAAAACACAGACAATCGTAAACCCCCCAAAAATTGCACAAGTATGTGGAGGAATATTATAGAGGTTTCTACAATACACACATGTTCATGTCATTCTCTCCTGTGTTCTGAATCTGCTGATCAGAAAGCAAAACACTTTAGGGGGCGGGTCCTGATGTTTTTTAATTTATTTATTTTTCTTGGATTTGTGGCGACTGACAGCTTTATCATAACATGTCATGGGTTAGGGTTAAAGCCCAGGATAATTGTTTACAGCCGGATGGAAGGGGTCTTTTAGGGAAGACCTATAAAAGCCACAATTCCAACATGACAGATAGCAATAAAAAGTTGACACATTAATAAACTTATTGTTTGCTTAAGCATCTTTACTTAAAGAGGGCCATTCTTACTTTCATTTAAAATCACATCTGCATGCAGCTCTGCATGCTGATATGAAATAATCTTACATTCATTAGTTAAGCAAACATTTTTTGCTTTTATGCACAATTACTGTTTTTTCACTTCCCAGTTGAGTGAAACACTGGTGATGTAGCCCCTCACGCATCCTGAGAAGGCTACATCAACAGTGCCTTCCTAGGAAATCTCATCTGTAAACTGCAAAATCTCGTGAGATCTCAGGGAAATAAATTTTCCCCCTTACTGTTACAGGTTCCAGGAGGCAGACCCAGACTTCTACGAAGTAAGAAGTGATGGATTAATCTGCCCTTAGTAAAAATGGCCACCATGAGAAGCAATGGGCAGGAAAAGAGAAATAAGGTATGCAAAGAATAAAAAGCCTAGATTGTTATACGTATCTGTTGGTATATTACTATTACTGAACATTTCTAAAGGTGCCTTTGGTGTCATTTTTAAGATAAGGGAGATGTTCCTCTTTAACATATAAATTGACATATATATTACAATATTGTGTGGTATAAAACAAATTGGTGCAAAGTTGGAATCTCATCTTTAAAGTCATTGGTATTTGACCAATAGACTATAATAGTCAAAATTAAATCAGCTTAGACATTCCGTAAAACTTTACTACAACCTCCTACACCTGCACTTCCTAACCACCAGTCCCCCCAACTATTACTGCTGCCATAAATATATTATAAACGCTTACATTTTCTTCTCAATGATTTTTCTTAATTTAGAACAGAGACATTTAACAACATTATTCAGAATAATTTTAAATGGGTGTTTCTAAAGAAATCAACCTCTTCCTTATCATTGGTAACCCTATCAGCCAATACAATCTTACATCATTAGTACATTTTGTAGTTGTCACCAGTAAACGTCCCAATGCATGGTGCATTATTTTGTAATACCCTCTAGAAGTGCTTAATTAAAATTACTACTAAACATCATTATTTTCTCCAAATATAATTACATGTAATGTTTCCATTTGACTTAACTATTGCTAAAGTATTTTGCTGCTTATATTGCAAGTGCAACTATAGGCAAAAATCATTAAATCAGATTTATGCCCCATGTTTTTTTTCTTCCGACTCTCATTGTCAGATATGGGGTCTGGCAGTTTTAGTCCATCACATGATGAAGGAAAAAACTGGACGGGCATGGATGTTGCAGTGGTGACATCCAAACCTTACCACTCTAATCAGGAGGGGATGCATGTACACATCCTCTCCTGATCAGCCTGTGTTAAAAGGGGTCTAAATCATGGGAGTGGTGATCACCAATTGGCTCAAGACAAAAATGGCTACTATAGATGTGCTACCTCAGCCACCTCCCCCATCTCTAGGCTGCTGACTGGACAAAGAATTCACAGTTGCCCAAGTCAGGATTTTATTTCAGTTGTCACCTTTAGGAGATTTCCCTTCGCTTTCTCCCCAGATGGTGAGTGTCAGTTCTAACATTTCTCCATTCAATCCATAGAAAAAACAAACCAAAAGTAAAAAAAAAAAACCTGGTATCCATGTTTGTCATCCTTCTCTTGACACAACTGAGAATACCCCTAATGTGTTCAGTTCTTCCTCTTGAGTACAAAAATACTAAATAAATACCTTTGTTCCAATCACGCCATGGACGTTAGGTATAATGACTAGTGATTTAATTAAATCTCTTCCGCTAATTGATTATGGGGTTTATTTACAAACAATCCGCAAAGCCATTTTCCCTGTGGATCTCTGTGAAATTGAACATATTCTAATATTATGTTGCATAAAAACACTAACCAGTATTTGTCCATCTTCTGTTTGTTGTCTAGACATGCTGACACCCATCCATTGTTCATCCTGGTCCACTGTACATGTCCGCCCACACTTTCCCCCATTTTGTTCACCTAAGGGAAAAAGTCAGTTACATGAAGGTCTATAAAACAGGCAATTTGTCTTTTTGTAAGATACAAAAAAAAAATCTACATATAGTTTTCATCATAGTTATACACAAAAACACAGATGGAGACATATGTCACAGCTTCACTTCACTCTGTTACAGTGTTTGCATCAAAAAGGAAACCATTACAATTAAATGTGAAAGCCGTTCTGAGCATTTCCTATTTGGTGATAACAATATACCTGAGTGTGAGAGCTCTAATTTGGACATCGATCACAAGGGGATTCATTCTGTATGCTGCTCACCAAAAGGGTCTATCCTTCTGACTGATTTAAGGGTTTTGGTGTGAAGAACTTTTGCTGAAACTGCTAAAGCATTGAGAATCCCAAAAATTTTTGAATACAGTTTTTTAACCTTTTTTTTATCCTTTGTGGGACATCAGTTGATCACCGGCAGCCTCTTTGCAGCTACTCCCTGCAGGCATGCACTGTATTTATTAAGATGGGTTTCCTGATGGTGAGATCAGTGGACTATGTTTGTGCAATATGTGTCTGCATTGCCATTTGTCTTCACTGGGAAAGCAGGACAGTAAGACAATACAGGAGAGAAAAATTGGGAGACAGGGATAGAGTGTTGTCACCCTATAACAGGAAGTGGTGGCATAAGGACATTCATGGCAGATCACCAATGTAAGTTTATGTAAGATTTTAGTGATTAGATCTACAAATAAGTGGGCAGTACACCTTTGGCTCACGGGCGCAAAGATGTGGCTGTTTTTTATGGTATGCACAGTGACGTATCCAGGGCATGGTACATATGGCACATGCCCTGGGCACCACCTGAAGTTTCCAACGGAGACCGCTGACTTTCTCACTCTGGCAGCACGCCAGCTAGAGCGTCCCGCCCAGCTCCTGGTTGCCAGGAGCTCGGCGGGATGCCATAGGTGCATTTTATAGTATAAACGCCTCTAGGTATGCAGTACTATGTGCCCGTGTGAATGTCTCCTAATGGAAAACCTTAAAAAAAAAGAACATAGTAGTTGCTTAGCTGGTATTCTGATCTTGTGGTTTCAAACCTTTCTGTGTTGCTGTCCAGGCAGGAGTATGTTGCTCTAGTTTCCCTTACTGCATTCCTGCTCTGGGTCAGACCTCAGACTATTGAAATGAGATTAGAATGACAGCCAGGTAACTAGAATTTTCAGGTGCAGGTCAGCTATCACAGTCTATGTATTGAGTTCATGACAAGTTTTGATTAATGGGTCAGCCATTATATACACTCCTATAATTACTTTGTTGGATCTTTATGAAAAAAAAGTAGGTAAGTATGACCTCAGATGAACACTTCTAAAACAAAAAGTTTTCTACAGTGCAAACAACAAAACCATATCAGAACAATCAACAGCAGCACTTTACTTCCAAATGTGCAAATGTAAAAACACTGCACAGCGGTTATATTTATTGCACATTTATTCCACATGCTCCATTGCGATTATAAACAGACATGAAAGCAACCACAAAAAATATCTGGCTACACTTAAGATGAATTTTCATTTATGGAATACCACAAATGATAAAGAGGAACTAATTATAATGTTTTATTTCATTCTATAAATTTATTCCTTACAGCGGAAATGGAGCGCTGTGTAATAGAAACAGGAATTCTACACAGAGAGCCTATTTATTGCTAATGCATTTCAGAGTGGCTTTAAAAACATAAGGCAAAAACATCAACAATTCAACATAAAATTATGAATTGTAAGGCACTAGTTGGCAAGATTGTGGGCGATGTATATTTGTCACCAAGGTTTCTTACCCGCACCAAGTGAGAGGTTCTAGGATTTATGACTGATCAGGAGAGTCCTGTTCTGGTTCTTGAAACCTGTAGGGTTTGTGAAGCTTTGAGTGGGATAAAGCCTCGATTCCTAGGACTACATCTCATCTGGCAACCAGACCTCATTATTAGTCTCAGCTGTCCACAAGCCTTTTTATATGTGACATGACTGATGCTCAGGGTTCTCGTTTGCTCTCTCTGCCGGGGTAGCCTGCTACTGAGTGAAAAGGCTGACTGCTGACAGAACACTAAAAATATACTGACTGTTTGTTTTGGGGAAACCATTAAGGGGGATCCTGTTACTTAGGAACTGATTTCAGTTCAGTTAGTGGCTTGGACGAGCAGAAGTTTTGTTTGTTATGCTGGCTGTATATATGTGTGTATATACTGTGATAGTTTGGGGAATATAGCACAATGGTGAGCGCTAAGTGACCACTCCTGAAGCCGACTTTAACATAAAAGGACAGTCTTTATTCAGCATAACAGTTCATTCAGGAGTCTCATCAAGACATTGGTTGGTCTCACCGACATCTGTCTGTGCCATACACTCCCCGTGTGATAGTCCCAGGACTTTACCATATTTCTCTGTGAATACAGTCCTCAGCACTGCTCAGCAGCTTTCCTTAGCTCCAAGCGGTTCAGTATCCACCCCTCGTGGGTCACTGTCCCTCTCTGTCTCCCCGACAGGTATCTCAGGGTCACGGACCCTCTGGACCTCTCTAGCCTTCCTGGCTTGTCCCTTGTGCTCACGCACGCAGCAGAGTCTGCCTATCGTTGTATGCCTCTTGCACACCCACAACTCTCCTCTAAAGCACTGGGCTGGCTTCCTAATAAGGCTGCTCTCAGCCACCTGATCAGCTTAACCTGGCCACTGGCAACACCTGGCCCCAGGACTGGAGATCCCATCCCACTATAGTCTGGAAAACCTAGAAGGGATTGAACAGCCAGTTCCTCCTCTCCAAAGGTATTCACATTGTGGAACCTCTCAGCCCCTCTGGCTGAGAGTCCTGGGCGCCAAAGTTGCCATACTACACCGTGGCATAGCCACGCACTGCCGCAATACGCATATATGTGTGTATATACGCATATATATATGCGTATATATATTGTGATGTTCGGGGATATTAGCACATAGGGTGAGCGCTTAAGAATGCAGTTTAGACATTGGTTGGTCTCACCGACATCTGTCTGTGCCATACACTCCCCGTGTGATAGTCCCAGGACTTTACCATATTTCTCTGTGAATACAGTCCTCAGCACTGCTCAGCAGCTTTCCTTAGCTCCAAGCGGTTCAGTATCCACCCCTCGTGGGTCACTGTCCCTCTCTGTCTCCCCGACAGGTATCTCAGGGTCACGGACCCTCTGGACCTCTCTAGCCTTCCTGGCTTGTCCCTTGTGCTCACGCACGCAGCAGAGTCTGCCTATCGTTGTATGCCTCTTGCACACCCACAACTCTCCTCTAAAGCACTGGGCTGGCTTCCTAATAAGGCTGCTCTCAGCCACCTGATCAGCTTAACCTGGCCACTGGCAACACCTGGCCCCAGGACTGGAGATCCCATCCCACTGTAGTCTGGAAAACCTAGAAGGGATTGAACAGCCAGTTCCTCCTCTCCAAAGGTATTCACATTGTGGAACCTCTCAGCCCCTCTGGCTGAGAGTCCTGGGCGCCAAAGTTGCCATACTACACCGTGGCATAGCCACGCACTGCCGCAATACGCATATATGTGTGTATATACGCATATATATATGCGTATATATATTGTGATGTTCGGGGATATTAGCACATAGGGTGAGCGCTTAAGAATGCAGTTTACTCGCAATATCTTTGGTTTGAGGGCTCGGTAGCCCACTATTATGCAACACAAAGTTCATAGATCCATCTTGGATACCCACGCAGGGGTTGTCAGCATAATTCATGCAAAGGCTTTAAAGCAACACAAGAATAGCCTCCTGGCTTCCACTTTAAACAGTAGCACTTCTGACCCACTGGTCCTCTTTGAAGTGCTGTCCCACACTTGTACTGGTGGCCCCTCAGGCTCACGGCTCTCCTAGCCTCACCAGTCCTCTCCCAGCCTCCCTGGCTGTCTTAGTGTGCCTCCAGCACACTCACCACCTGACTCCTCTCTGACTTCTGGGGGCGTTCTCCTGACACCTGAACACGGTCTGTTCCTCTTTCCCAGCAGGAGCTAATTCCCCTAGCCAGCACCCTTTCCTTAAGGGTTGTGTACACCTGTGCAATCATCGGGTGCTGGCCACTGCTAAAGTCTGGATCTAGGCCCGGGGATCTCATCTTTCCTCCAGAATCACCTTGAAACCTCCCAGTTCCAGGATCCCAAGCCGAATCCAGACAATCCCTTGCTTCCTGACACATCTCAGCACTTCTAGCTGAGAGTCCCAGGTGCTCATCATATACAATTCTACAGTGGGATTGCCACACAATACCACAATATATATATATTATATATACTATATATACACACATACACTACATGCAGGTAGGAGTGGGCAGCATCAGTGGAATGATTCAATATTGCAAATAAGGTCAAACATCTTAAAGGAGAACTATGCGGTGAGTGCTTTTCACTCACCTCATAGTTCTAGCCAACCTGTGACAATGAGACCCTCGCAGGTCGGCTCAGTAGATCGGGAAGTGAACGAACACATACCGGCGTACGCTCTCTTCTGCCGTGACAGGGGAGGGACTGGATTCCCCCCTCCCCGCTCCGGTCCTCCAGCGCTGACTGTTGTAACAGACGGGGGAGGGGGCAGGTACAGCTGGCTCTGCCTCTAGATAGGCAGAGCCAGCTGTCACTCGCACAGCTGGGCAGATCCAGACATAATTGTCGGGATCCGCTTCTACTGTAGCGTCTCAGTATATCGTGAGCTGTAGCTCGCGGTATACTGAGCTTAGGGTGACGGGAGGACGCTAGTTTGTGTCCTCCCGTTACCCTAAGGAGAACTATGGGGAAAAGCCCTAACCCCATAGTTCTGCTTTAACGGTGTCAACTGTAGTCATCCAGCGACAAGGCTGATCGCCATGAGAATAAAATTGATACATACGGCAGTAAGCCAGAAGAGGTGTGACACAAGGTTTCCAAGAAACCAATTAACCAAAACATAAACCTTACGATGTAACAAAGCAGTATGAACAAAAGCCTCAGCAAACACAGATCCTAA